GAAAAAAGAAAAAAAAGTTGGTGAATTGGCAAAAAAAAAAAAAAAAAAAAAAAAAAAAAAAAACTTGTAGGAAGTATAAATGAATAAATAAACAAAAATAACTAATAATGGATAAATAAGTTTAAGTATTTTATTTATAAAATTTAAATTATACCATATTCATCTAATATTAAAAAAAAAAAATCAAAATCTAACTTCAACATAGGCCAAGCATGGTTTGTTACTTCTCGCTCCTAAGATTTTTATTCCCCACTGATTCTTCCATCATGTTTTGTCTTCACTCACATGAGTTATATGAAAATTCACTTAAACTACATAGAGTTGCAAATAAACTTAACCATGGGCTAAAGGAAGAGCACAAATACTTCTTTTACTATATTTTTCAAGTCTCTTACAAAAACATCATACATGACTTTATATAGCCTCAAAATGAAACATTCCAAGAGTTGTAACATCCATGCTTAATGGCTTTAATTAACCATTATGTAAATTGTAACGTGAAGTAAATTAAAAGTCTTAAAATACATTAATGAAACTCTAAATTTCTCTAAATTGTAATCCACTCTAAATTCAAAACATGAAACTTCATTCTTTTTCAATGTGGCATGAATTGAAATATCTTTTGATAATTTTAACAATATTTTTTTCTCATCTTCATTGAAACATATTGTATGATTGATGTCTCTTGGTTCATATCAATTAGTCATCCACGCAAAATTGTTCCAAGTAAAACATATTTAACTATGAAATTCTTATAATTGAGCTACCGAAAAGGAAGGTGCATCTTATTGCTATAATAAGTATCAATTTCTAATTCTTTTACGTATTTCTTAGTCATTATAGTCTTAGGATTGACAGTTCATTCATATACTTCATATTTATCTGAGTGGTGTAAAATTTTCAGATAAAAATTAATTCGTTTAGTCAATTACTCAAATTTTGATTTATCATATCCATGTTTTTTTCTCCATTTAAAAAACCAAACAAATGGCGAAAAGACAAAAATGCCCCGTCATGATGGAGTACTATTAATTTACTGTTAATTTTTATAATAAAGATAAAATAATATATATAAATCAAAATAAATGTAAAGAGTTATTATTTTTTTCGATGGGATTCTTTTTATCTTACGTCCCCATGTTCTTCCCGTGTGACAATTGTATAATTTTCTGGGAATGAAATTTATTGTTCTTTTAAATAATTTCAAACTAAGCTTAATAAATAGGTTAATCCTTAAAATTAGTTTTAAATTTATTGTTAATTTACATATATATATATATATATATATATTATTTAATTGCATTATTACTTTTAGAATTTAAATAAAAATGAACTTACTGTAATTAATCTCATTCTAAATTTATTTTTTAAAGTTTTGGTGACGGTTGGTCGAGGTGGAAAAACATTAGCTGCACAGTCATGGAAGGAGTCATCGTAGGACGTCAATCACTTATAAGTTTTTATAATGTAATTTTTAAAAAATTATATCGGAGAAGAATGGAAAATATTAATTTAAATATTTGAAAAGAAATAAATAGATTTTTTTTAATTATTAAAATAAAAATTTGAATAAATAATTGCGTATTCATTATTTAATAAGATTTATTTTTGTTGATTTTTGTAGTTAAATTAATAAAAATACTAATAAATTTTGTACGAGTCTAAAAAAATATTCATAAAACTCTCAAAAGTCTCTAATTTAAAATTTTTAAAATATATAAAAAAAATACTATTTGTTTTTTTAGGGAAACCGTTAGTATTTAATTTAAAAAACATTGTTAAATTTCTAAAATATTTAAAAAATATCGTTAAAATTTAAAAAGTTTCATTAATACACTAGGATTAAAAAAATTTAAATAACCTTTAATTTTTTTAAAAAAGTTTGCAAAATCTGTAACATTTTAAAAGCAGAATCAACATCATTTATCATTATATTACTGTTAATATATTTACGAAAACAGTATATCAACACTTCATAGATTATCTCAAAACTTTTGGAGAGTAATTTTAAAAGTTCAGGAATATTTTTGAAACATGGTATCACAGTGTATTTTTATTTTTATTTTAAAAATTAAAAATATTTTTGAAAATTTTTTAACGTATTTTTGAAGTTTTTTTAAACAATTAAAAAAATTAATAAAAAATACATATCAAAGTTAAACAAATATTTTAAAAATAAGTATTAATGGTATTTTTTAAAAGTTTAAAAGAATATTTTTATTAATTAAAATGCACCAACACACCATCAACGAAATAAAATTTCCAAAATATAGAGATTATTTCATTAATTATTTATTTTAATTTATTATTAGAACATAATCAGAAGGATTCAATGCTATGGGAAGTGAGAATGTTGGGATTGTTGGAGGATGAAAGTCCCACATCGGCTAATTTAGAGAATGATCATGAGTTTATAAATGAAGAATACTAAATCCATTAGTTTGAGGTCTTTTGGGAAGTCCAAAGCAAAACCATGAGAGCTTACTCATGGACAATATCATACCATTGTGGAGAGTTGTGTTTGTCTAACCGAGATAATTTGGTGGAATAAACGATTGTAAAACCCGTCCTCGATTCTGGCGAGAGGGTTGATGGTGATGTAAGAGGGAGAGAAAAAAGAAGTGAGGATCAAAATCGAAGGGGTGTTGATTTGAGAGAGAAAAGGAGAGAAATCTGAGTATAAATGACCCTACTTCCAGTGAAATCACTCGATTCCTTTGGAATATCACCGTGTTCTTCCTCATCCACTAGTATTGCACTCAGAAGAGGAACAATTGCACCATTTTCATACCTCCTTGTCTCCTCCATCCACCGTCTTCCTTCCCTTCGCTTATCGATTCGCACTGCTTCCACTGTTGTTAGGTATTTCTTTTGTTCTTTTACTTTTCTCTTACTCTATGATCCATTTCTGTGTTGTGGATTCTATGGCGGTTGTTTTTGTCATCGTTTTGTGTTCTGGATATGGATTATGGAGGTTATTTTGTAGGCTGAATCTTTGGAATTAAGCTTTAAATGACCTAATGGAGTTGTGGGATCGAAGTAGATGAACATGAAGGGCTCTGACTTCTTGTCTTCCAATTTTGTCTGGTTTTTGGGTTGGAAACTTTTTGTTTCGTGTTCTTAATGTTCTTAATGTTCTTCCTTGATTTGGCTACACATGATAAGGTGGCTGACGGTTTTCTTCTCTTTTTTGCTCTAATGCCGTTTTGGTTGCTCAGTTTCACCATTTCGATTTGTTTGCATGTGGCCGTTTGGTACTGATACAAGCTCCATAAGATCTGAACTAATGATGCTTATCTTTTGCTTTTTTTGTTGCACTTGGACATGTTTGGCTCTTGTTCATATGAAAATTTTCATTGTAAACACCTCAAATTCTAACCACAAGGTCGGGCTAGATAAATAACGAGTTCATAGGGAATTAGTTTAAGTCATAGTGGCCACCTACTTAAGATTTAATATTCGAGTTACTTCAACAATCAAATGTGTTCAATCAGCATTCGTTTTATGAGAATAGTCAAGGAACCACAAGCTGCTGTTCGGATGCTCACTGATATCAAAAAGAAAAAGAGAACTTAAAATTCTTTTAGTCCCTGAAGTTGGCCTCGATGGCGCAACGCCACCTAGAAATTTGTGAGCTGAGATTATTCTTTTATACTAGAGGAATCTATGAAATTGTAATTGAAGAAGATGGTTGATTTATAATTTTTTTCCCGGTTCATTAAGGGTTGTATCGTGTTATTATGTAACAGAGCAATGGCGTCCCACGTTGTTGGTTATCCTCGTATTGGTCCGAAGAGAGAACTTAAATTTGCCCTGGAGTCTTTCTGGGATGGGAAGAGCACTGCTGATGACTTGCAGAAAGTGGCTACTGATCTCAGGGCATCTATTTGGAAGCAGATGGCCGACGCTGGAATTAAGTTTATCCCTAGCAACACTTTTTCGTATTACGATCAAGTGCTCGACACTGCAACTATGCTTGGTGCTGTTCCTTCAAGATATGGATGGAACGGTGGTGAGATTGGATTTGACACGTACTTCTCCATGGCTAGAGGGAACGCTTCGGTTCCTGCCATGGAAATGACAAAGTGGTTTGACACCAACTAGTAAGTGAAAGCCTATATGCATTTCCCTACCTTTACGATACTTTTTCCGTAAGACTTATATTAGTCAATGATGCAAGGAATGTAATTATGTGCGTGTTTTATTACAGCCATTACATCGTCCCCGAGCTGAGTCCCGAAGATAAATTCACTTATGCATCTCACAAAGCAGTAAACGAGTACAAGGAAGCTAAAGCTGTAAGTTTTCTTATAGAAAAAATTGAAAAGAAAAACACTTCAAAGGAACTGCTATGCTGTTTTGAACTGACAAGCACCTTATTTCTTTTTTTGAGTAACAATTATTACCTTTTTCCCCTTATACTCCCACTTTTCTATGCAGCTCGGAGTCGAGACCATCCCAGTTCTTGTAGGCCCTGTGTCCTTCTTGTTGCTATCGAAACCCGCCAAGGGAGTTGAGAAATCCTTTTCACTTCTCTCTCTAGTCGGCAAAATTCTTCCCATTTATAAGTCAGTATTTCTTTGCCTCTTTCTGGAAGTCCATCCCACGTTATTTCGCTTCCACTCTCTTCTTCTTAACTGTTATTGGTGCCTGCAGAGAAGTTGTTTCAGAGCTGAAGGCTGCTGGTGCCACATGGATTCAATTTGATGAGCCTACACTTGTGAAAGATCTTGATACACACCAGTTACAAGCATTTGCTCATGCCTACTCGGAGCTGGAATCAGTCTTATCCGGTTTAAATGTTCTGATCGAGACATATTTTGCTGATGTTCCGGCTGAGGCATACAAGACCCTTACATCTTTGAAGGGTGTCTCTGGTTATGGATTTGACCTTGTTCGTGGAACACAGACACTTGATCTTATCAAAGGCAAATTTCCTTCGGGCAAATATCTCTTTGCTGGAGTGGTCGATGGAAGAAACATATGGTCAAATGACCTTCAAGCTTCCCTAAATACTTTGGAGGCGTTACAAAATGTCGTTGGGAAAGGTGCTTGTTTCTTAACTTGCTAGTACATTTTACATTAGCGTGGATACATTTTCAAACTTTAAACAGTGGTAATATATGCTGTTCTTTTGTGTCGTTGCAGAAAATATTGTCGTCTCCACTTCATGCTCGCTTCTTCACACTGCTGTTGATTTGGTGAATGAAACGAAATTAGATGATGAAATTAAGTTATGGCTTGCTTTTGCCGCGCAGAAAGTTGTTGAAGTTAATGCCTTGGCCAAGGCATTATCTGGACATAAAGATGAGGTACTTTATTTGTCTGTTTTTTTACCTTGCAATGGGAACTTAGGAACAGGGTGTTGTACCTTAAATGAAACGATCTAACCTGGTTAGGTGCGTTATCTGGCTCGAGTATTGAGAATACTTTTAACCTTAGTTTATTTGACTTGCCATGGAAATCTATAATTGCGTAGGAACTGAAGATATTAAAATTTAAGCTTATAATGTTCACTTCTTCCAGGCGTATTTTTCGGCCAATGCTGCAGCTCAAGCTTCAAGGAAATCGTCCCCAAGAGTGACAAATGAGGCTGTCCAAAAAGCTGTAAGAATTTATCTGAAATATATTAATATCATTTTGTACTATCGCTTTATATTCTTGCAGATCACATGCTCAATCCGGTTTCTGTTTTGACTTGCTTAGGCTGCTGCTCTGAAGAGCTCTGACCACCGCCGGGCGACTAATGTAAGTGTCAGGTTGGATGCTCAGCAGAAGAAGTTGAACCTTCCAAAGCTACCTACCACAACAATTGGATCCTTCCCTCAAACTATGGATCTTAGAAGAGTGCGACGTGAATTCAAAGCGAAAAAGTACGCCTTTTGGTCTTTGGATATTGTTGTTTGTCCTCGAAAAAGTACAGTGTTATTAATTTTACAATATTCTTGCATCCTGTTCCTTTAGAATCTCTGAGGAAGTCTATGTCAGCTCCATCAAGGAGGAAATCAATAAAGTTGTTCAGCTTCAGGAAGAGCTCGATATCGATGTCTTGGTGCATGGAGAGCCTGAGGTAAGCATTTGTCGTGAACGAATGCCGAAGTACCTTTATCTAACCATATATTGTCTCAGGTAAAAGAAATTTGGCATCTGAATTTCTGTTTATGTCTCAGAGAAATGATATGGTTGAATACTTTGGAGAGCAACTGTCCGGCTTTGCCTTCACTGTCAACGGTTGGGTCCAATCCTATGGATCCCGTTGCGTTAAGCCACCTATCATCTACGGTGATGTCAGTCGTCCAAAACCCATGACCGTCTTTTGGTCGACAATGGCTCAGAGCATGACAAAACGACCTATGAAGGGAATGCTTACCGGTCCAGTGACAATCTTGAACTGGTCTTTTGTTAGAAATGACCAACCAAGGTAGTAAAATTTAATGAACTGTTTTACCAAGGGCAGTTTGCAGTAGTTAACTCAATATAGCCCCTGATTGTTCATAGGTTCGAGACATGCTACCAAATCGCCTTAGCCATTAAGGACGAGGTTGAGGATCTCGAGAAAGCTGGTATTACTGTCATCCAGATTGACGAGGCAGCACTGAGAGAGGGTTTGCCTCTCCGAAAGTCCGAGGAAAATTTCTACTTGAATTGGGCTGTTCATTCGTTCCGAATCACCAACTGTGGTGTTCAAGATACCACCCAGGTTCTTTTCTCCTCTCTCCTTTTCTTTTTTAGGTCAATGATCTCTCTCGTAAAGTTCGCTTTGGCTGTTGTTAGGCAATGGGATGTGTCGTTTTCATTGTCTTGTTCATATTCTGGTGTCGTGTTTTTTGCGTCGAGTTGTATAACGGTCTTGTCAATGACATAGTTAACTTTATGATTTTGATGACTGCAGATCCACACCCACATGTGCTACTCGAACTTCAACGACATCATCCATTCGATAATCGACATGGATGCTGATGTGATCACCATTGAGAATTCCAGGTCAGACGAGAAGCTTCTATCTGTCTTCCGTGAGGGAGTAAAATACGGAGCTGGAATCGGACCTGGAGTCTACGACATCCATTCACCCCGTATCCCCTCGACCGACGAAATTGCTGACAGGATCAACAAGATGCTTGCTGTTCTGGAAAGCAACATCCTCTGGGTGAACCCCGATTGCGGTCTCAAAACCCGAAAGTACACCGAAGTCAAGCCTGCCCTCCTCAACATGGTCGATGCTGCTAAGCTCCTTCGCTCACAACTGGCCAGTGCCAAGTAAGTTTGAGAATGCTATGGAGCTTTTTTTACCTTAGGAAATAAAAAAATTTAAATTTTCGATAAGATTTTGGCCTTCTAGTGAAGTGATCTTGCTCTCTTTCTTGGGGAAGTAATGAGCAATGTAAATCAAACTCCTTTTGTGGCTTTTGTTTAAAGTAAATTCTCCTTCTTTCTATCAGTTTTAAAGCCTTTCTTTTGTTAGGTTAGATTATTAGTCGTGTTTTTTAGTTCACTGACATGTTGGGCTAGAAACTTGAACGTTTGAACTTTTGACTGACAGTGGATATATGCCTTGAACAACTTGAGGAGTCGTACTTTACGTAATGCTCAAAAAGATGTTGAAGTTCGAGTCGTAGTCGTAAATATACTATTTAGTCGTGTTTTTTAGTTCACTGACATGTTAGGCTAGAAACTTGAATGTTTATACTTTTGACTGACAATGGGCATATGTCTTGACCAATTTGAGGAGTCGTACTTTACGTAATGCTCAAAAAGATGTCGTTGAAGTTCAAGTCGTAGTCGTTAGTATACTATTTAGTCGTGTTTTTTAGTTCACCGACATGTTAGGCTAGAAACTTGAACGTTTGAACTTTTTATTGACAATGGATATATGCCTTGAACAATTTGAGGAGTCGTACTTTACGTAATGCTCAAAAAGATGTTATTGAAGTTCGAGTTGTAGTCGTAAATATACTATTTAGTCGTGTTTTTTAGTTCACTGACATGTTAGGCTAGAAACTTGGAACGTTTGAGCTTGAGCTTTTGATTGACAATGGGCATATGCCTTGACCAATTTTAGGAGTCGTACTTTATGTAACACTCGAAAAGATGTCTTTGAAGTTTGAGTCAGAGTGAAATAAGGTTCAGTCGAATTAATGTTTCGTTTTCCTCTTCCTTCTTAAGAGTTATAATTCGAATGAATGTCTTTTCTTTTACCGACTGTAAAGCATAGGAAAAGGTTTAAGGTTTCGGTTTGATCTTTTTCTTTTACTGACCGTAAAGGTAAAGTAGTTCAGGGAATAGATGAATAAGTTGTCATAAATATAGCAATTTTATTCTCGTGCCCGAATCCGGGGCAACGAATTTGGTTCCATTGTTCACTCATAAACTAGATGTTCATTCATGGCTTCTTCTTCTTCACCAGTCTTCCTCCATATGATCATTCTTTGTAAGATTGAGATACACAATCACAAAAACAGCAGCCCCCAGAGCCAAATTCACCATATTTGTCCATAACCATTCTCCTCTTCTCGTCCATTCACTCCCTTCTGCAACTCCTCCTTCCTTCTTCCCCCTACCATGGCCGCCACGTTCCTTCTCCTCCACCATTCTCGACCCGCCCCGTTCCTTTTCCCCCCTACCATGGCCGCCCCGTTCCTTCCCCTCCACCATTCTCGACCCGCCTCCTTCCTTCTCCCCCCTACCATGGCCGCCCTGTTCCTTCCCCTCCGTCATTCTCAACCCGTCTCCTTCCTTCCCCTTCTCCCCCATTTTTGACCCAATTTCTTCTTTCCCCTCTTCCTTTCTTGTCTTCTCCGAAGCATCTTGCAGTTTTGTATGTGCTTTTGCCTTATCCTCTGTTTCTTTCTCTGTTCTGTCCTTGGCAGCTAAATCTTGAACGGGCTCTCCGCCTCCCACGGTGGGCTTCTCGGCGGATTTTTGGGTACTCGCTGGCGCTCCGGCCCCTTCATGTGGCTTTAAAGGAGTGGGGCTTTGTTTCCCATTTGCCTGTGATTGAGGTCTCTCGTTTGGGCTCTTTGGGGTATTTGGTCGATCAGTTGGTTTTGCGGCGGTCGGCGGCGGTTGGGATTCGGCCTTGGGCTTCGGTGGCTGAACCGGTAGGTTGTTGGAAGAGACGGCGGAGGTTTTTTTGGGCTGCGTCACGTAGAGGATGCCTTTCTCCAACTTGGCAGAGATCTTGTTCAAATCGGCATCTTCTGGGATATGGATTTCCTTGAGGAATCGGAGCCACTTGCCGCTGGTAAGCCTCCGTTCGCCGGAGATCCTCAACTTGCCGGTGGATGTCACCTGAACTTTCAGATCGTTGCGTGTGAAACCTGCAGAGAGAAGATCGAAAATTCAATGGTAAGTTCAAATTTTCATAAATTAAAAATTGTTTTTGTTTTCAACGATTTAATTTAATTTCGATTTTATTTTTAAGCCATTTCATCTAATCTGATACATCCAAAAATTTGTTAAATTCAACAATTTCAAATTTATTATTAATTTTAAAATATATATATATATTTGTTTACACTATAATTATATATATAATATTAATTTATTTTTAATAACGCATAAAAATAATATATAGTAATTTGGAAGGTTATTTTTTAAAATATATTAAAATTAAATAGTGAATTTTTATTAAATATTAATATATATAATTATATTATGAATTAATATTTTAATTTTATTAAAAAAATTAAATAAATGACAAACTCAATTTAAAAAATTTATGGTTGTGGTTAATCATAATAATAACAGTTAATTAATAATTTTATTTTGAAACTCACAAAACTCACAGAAGAAGGGGCAAATGTCAAACCTAAGAGGTGGACGAGAAGAAGATGAGACTCGGGATCGGGATGAGGAAGCCAATCGATTAGAGGCTCAAAATCTTGATAGCTTTTGGACGAAGAATCCATTGGCATTGCGTTCGATTTTCCTCTCCGGTAATTCTAATTTCTCTTGACGACGATTTCTTTCGATGTCTTCGATGCATTCTTTATATTGAACGGAGATCTTGATTCAAAACATGTTTCTGAAAATCTAAGAATTTCTTCGGGATTAGTAATTCCTTCGCTTGAAGCTTTCTTTGTGCTTCAACCATGACGGTTGTTTCGATCTTCATTCGAAATCTTCTTTTGAAATCCGCCTTCTATGAAGTTGCGATCGCAAGTAGGAATTTCTCTGGCTTCGGACATGGCAATTGTTTGATGCAGAGGGTTAAGAGATGTGTTGTTTTGGTCACTTTGTCCATTGGTAAAGTGAAGATTCTTTTTGTTTCTTTCTTCTACACTTCTCTTGTTAGTGACGATTTCTTTTCTCCCTTCAACACACTTCATTCAAGTTATTGTAATTCGATACGTCTCGTCTATTTTGATTATAGTTATTTTAGAATTTTTTCGTTTCGATTTCACCCCTGTTCTTATAAAAAAAAAATCCATTGTTCTTTTGATGATGAACCACTCTAGTACAACAAGCTGAAGGAACTTTTACGCTGTATTTTCAGTGCGTATGGGCGATTCCCATGCAATAGAGGGAAGATCGAGAAGTAGAAAAAATGTGCCATTAATGTATACGAACATCGAAGAGTTAAATTTTATAGCATTTGAAATAAACTATTTTTTAAATTTGGTGAGAAAGCCACTAAATTATTTCAAATCATAAAACTTAAATTAATAAAAAATACTTTTTGAATTTTACTCGGGGTCTAAAAATATCCTTACCAAACAAGTTCTTGCGAAGGGGAAAATGGCTGTTTGGATGTGAGACTGTTCTTATTTTACCCGAATTTGAATTAGCCCCCGCGCCCGATATACAACATGGATTCTGGCAATACAATGTAGTTGGACTCTCATGTCCGATCGAAATGAATCATCCTTTTCACAAAGGTAAATCTTTGCCTGCTAGGTAAAAAGATAGCAAGTTACAAATTCTGTCTCGGTAGGACATCTAGTTAGTGGTGGGGTTACCATTATCCTTTTTGCGATTGTACCATGTTTCAAAAATATTCCTTAATTTGTAATATTAAAAAGTTTAGAGATAATCTATAATAGGACGATAAACAGTTTTTGAACTTTTTTTTTTATAAAGGTCAAGACGGTAAATCCAACTTTTAAAATTTCAGAAGCATTATTTTAAATATAAGAATAATAAATATTTTTGAACGTCTTAATGAACATTTGTAAAATTCAAATATTATTAACTGTTGAATAATATTTTTGAAATAAAATAATAAATATTAGTATTTTTTTTATAGATATTTAAAATAATAAATATTAATATTTTTTTAATAGATATTTTTAGTTTATTATTGATACTTTAGAGTTATTTTTATTAATTTAGTCTATTATAAATTTGAAATTAAATTTATCAAATAATTTTTTATAAATTCAATGAAAAAAACATATATATATATATATATATATATATATATATATATATAATATTTTTGAAATACAGATGTATTTTTATTAATTTAGTCTATTATAAATTCGAAATTAAATTTATTAAATAATTTTGTATAAATTCAATGAAGAATATATATATGTATATATAGGTATTTTTATTAATTTAATTTATTATAAATTCGAAATTGAATTTATTAAATATTTTTTTTTATAAATTCAATAAATAATATATATATATAGACTTGCATCTTCACTCCAACTAAAACGGTGTGCAATAAATAATAACGAACATTATCCCGTTCATCAATTGGCCAATGGCTGAAAATCCTTCGAAAAAAATTTCTTCATCGTTTCTTCTCTGCAAAATTCTATCTTCTCCATGATTGATTTCCAGAGTTACACGCCTTGATTTCAATTTTCCGCTTCAAGAAGAAGAATCTGATTTCGCCATTTCCACGTTCTGCGGGAAGCGAATCAACCATGGAGGTTGCGGGAATTTCTTCTGCTCAGCTAATTCATTTCCCAACCACACTCCATAGAACCCTAGCCTGCAATTTCTACTGCGTCGCCTCGCATCGGAATCCGCTGCCGAGAATGAGATCATCATCTTTCAATTTCAAAACCGCGAAGCATCCAAATGTGTTGAGGAAGTGCGAGTTGATTCGCACGGCTTTGGCGTCCGATGTCGTTGGTACAGAACAGCCCGAGATGGAGGAGGAGGAGAAGTTCGATTGGTTTGCGGAGTGGTATCCGGTTATGCAGGTGTGCGATTTGGACAAGAGAGTGCCGATTGCGAAGAAGGTGCTAGGGTTGGATTTGGTGGTGTGGTGGGACAGGAATGAGAATGCATGGAAGGTGTTTGATGATAGTTGTCCGCATAGATTGGCGCCGTTGTCCGAAGGAAGGATCGATCAGTGGGGGAGGCTACAGTGCGTGTACCATGGATGGTGCTTTAATGGCTCCGGTGACTGCAAATTCATCCCTCAAGCGCCCTCTGATGGCCCTCCGGTAACAATTTTATTTTGCTCCATTTTAATCTCTGTTCCTTTGAAACGTTTGGATTGTTGCACGTTTAAAAAGTGACGTTTTGATCCCTTTATTTTCATTTTTAGATCACTTTTTTAAAAAGTAAAATCAAAATAGAAGTTCAAAATTTAAGAGAAGTGATTTGATTGGTATGATCCTAGATTAATCTTAGATTAATCTTATATGCTGTAGATTAATCTTATATGCATTATGAAGTATCAAAATTTTGGAAAGAACTAAAGTTTCAGATTCTATTTGTTGGATGATGAAAGCCCCACATCTCCTAATTTAGGGAATAATCATGGATTTATAAACAAAGAATTCTCTTTACATTGGTGTGAGATCTTTCAGGAAAGCCCAAAGCAAAGCCCAAAGCAAAGCCCAAAGCAAAGCCATGAAAGCTTATACTCAAAGTGGACAATATCATATCATTGTGGAAAGTCGTGTGAACTTCCCTCGTGTGTCAACAAACCATCACCCATTTATTTAATTCTAAATTTAGAGATTTAGAGCTATGCGAACTTCCCTCGTGTGTCAACAAGCCATCACCCATTAATACAACACCAACATTATCATTATTTAATTCTAAATTTAGAGTTATGCCTATAGTACCGCTATGCCTATAGTACCTTCTTCAAATTCGACCATAAATACTAGCAATGTCGTCGCCTACTTGAAATATAATACCGGCATTTACAATTTTTACTTATATAAAAACACAAAGTAGAAAGATTAAACAGTTGTTTTGATCGTTATAGACTTAAACAAATGCTTAAAGTGTGTATATGGGTTATAAAATATTTAATCAATTCACCTGTGTAAAAAAATCATAATAGTTTAAGAACAAATTTGACCCCTAATCAATTATTAATTTAAGTGAATAATAAATTTCAAATGATATTTTTTACGATAGGGACGAAATCATTATAATAGTAAATATAGGGACTAAATTGTTATTAATTATAAAGTGGAAGGACTTGCTTCTTTAAAAATTCTAGACCAAAAGTGGTTTTATGGGGAATAATTATCTTTCATGCATAACAAGATTGCAGGTTGGATTTACAAATATTATGAACATTTACATGAATTGGTATTATATGCAGGTTCACTCATCCAAGAAGGCATGTGTCGCTGTGTATCCAAGCACAGTGCAGAATGGCATAGTGTGGTTCTGGCCAAATTCTGATCCCAAATTCAAAGATGTCATTATGGAGAAGAAACCTCCCTTTATTCCGGAGCTGGACGACCCATCTTATGTTAAGTTAGAGGGAAATAGAGACATGGCCTACGGGTAATCACTTTCAAGCCCTCTTTCTGATTTTGATGCTTTTTGAAATGTCAAATGCAAAGAATCGAAACTATGTGTGTGAGATCCCACATTAGTTGGGAGGAGAACGAAACATTCTTTATAAGAGTGTGAGAACCTCTCCCTAGCAAGCAGACGGAAGCCTGAAAGGAAAAGTCTAAAGAGGACATATCTACTAACGGTGGTCTTGGACTATTACAATGTGCTAACGCGAATTAAAGTTCTGTTCACTCAGGCTGATGTATCCTTTTTTAGGTAATGTTTACTCATTCTAGTGTCAAAATTTGGGAAAGAACCGTCCCCATAGATTGATGGATCGAATTTGTGCTGTCATGGATATTCAGATCATGTTTTGCAGTAGTTAACGAACTTCGTAAGGCTAAACCAAAGTTTGACTGCAAACTAGATTGTACCAAGAAGGGTGTTGTGTGTTTGTTGAGGTGATTAGTCAGTAGATAATGATTGTACCAAGAAGGGTGTTGTGTGTTTGTTGAGGTGATTAGTCACTAGATAATCTTTTGGATGAGAATGGGAAGGAAAATGGTGTTGAGAGTATCTTATTCATTCATCTGAAATTCTTAGTATAGCAATGATTTTGTAAGTATCAAAATGATAATGTGAGATCCCATATCGGTTGAAGAGGGAACAAAGAATTCCTTATAAGGGTGTGAAAATCTCTCCCTAATAGATGCGTTTTAAAATTGTGAGGTTGATGACGATACGTAACGGGCCAAAGCGACACTGGGCAGTGTGCTAGTGAGGAAGCTACCCCAAGAGGGGTGGATTGTGAGATTCCACATCAGTTGGAGAGGGGAACAAAGCATTCCTTTAAGGGTGTGGAAATCTCTCTTTAACACAAACGCGATTTAAAATCGTGAGGTTGGCGGCAATATGTAATTAACCAAAACAGATAATATCTGTTACAATTTGCACTCCCACGATGTCATTTTCTGCCGTATGCTAGTAGTGAAATCCTAATCCGATTACTTCGTCATTGAAAATTGGCGTTTTTTCAGGTATGAGATACTGATTGAAAATCTTATGGACCCTGCCCATGTTCCATACGCGCACTACCGGATAATTCAAGCCCCACCATCATTGAAAAACAGATATCTTTGCCAATTCTATCTTCTCAACTGTTGCATTTAAGGCTTTCACATGGATTGCTTTGACTAACAACAATCATGTGTTCATTCACAGTGAAAGTTGACAGGGAAGGCGGCAGACCACTGGATTTGATTGTTGAAAAGTTGAAAGCAGATGGTTATGTTGGCAAACTTGATAGGCTCCGTCACAAGTTTATTGCACCTTGTGTCTATTATTTCTTCTCTGATCCAGAGTTGGAGAGCAAGAACGATGAATCTGTATCATCAACTTCAAAGGTATATTAGACGACAGCATAACGACATTTCATGTCTTTCGTTTCGTTGCTTTGTGTTGATAATTGTTAAATACCGATAAATCCAAAAGTTTAAGTTGATAGGTTATAGTAAATTAATGATTAAACCAAAAGCTTAAGTCAATGGATTATGATAAATTTAATGATATCAATACTTCGACTCTTTAACTGCATTTTCTGGGTTCTGATTCATGAAAAGTTTGTTATTCCAGAAACTGCCAACTGAAACCTCGCAGCGAAGATCGTTCCTGGTATTCTTCTGCATCCCGGTCAGTCCAGGTAAAAGCAGATTGATATGGTCCTTCCCCAGGAACTTTAGCAAATGGATAAACCATATTGTCCCACGATGGATATTTCATATAGGGCAGAACTTGATTCTAGATTCAGATATGTATTTTCTTCGTGTTGAGGTAAGTCATTTCGTTCATGGATATCGTATTTGCCTGTCGAGTATAGTTCCCGATGATGTTTGTTCTGAATTTAGGAGCACAAATTAGAGGAAATAGGACCTTCTAATTGGCATAAAGCTTGTTATGTGCCGGTTAAATCAGATGCCTTGGTGGTTGGATTTAGAAGGTGGTTGAACAAGTATGCAGGTGGTCAAGTTGATTGGGGAGGCAAATATTCTGGCTCCCTCCCTCCACTGCCTCCTAGAGAACAGGTGTTTGAGAGGTATCCTCTAATTTTTGCAACTCAACTTCCCTACTACTCTTTTGAGAACATAAATTGGATTAGTGAAGGATGCTGGTACAATATATTAGGATTGCACAACAATGCACACACTCGATCTAGATAAACACAAAGAACAACAGAGAGAAAATGCAAGGAAGAATATTGGTTAAAGATTTACACTCGATCTAGATGAACACAAAGAACAAAAGAGAAAACGCAAGAAAAAATATTGGCTAAAGGTTTACACTTGATTTAGATGAACACAAAGAACAAGAGAGAGAAAATGCAAGGAAGAATATTGGCTAAAGATTTACACTTGATCTAGATGAACACAAAGAACAAAATGTAAGGAAAAATACTGGCTAAAGGTTTACACTCGATCTAGATGAACACAAAAAACAAGAAAAAGAAAATGCAAGGAAGAAGGTTTACCCTCGTTTAGATGAACAGAAAGAATAAGAGAGGGAGAATGCAAGGAAGAATATTGGCTAAAGGTATACCCACAATTTAGATGAACGATGAACACAAAGAATAAGAGAGAGAAAATGCAAGGAAGAATATTGACTAAAGGTTTATATGGATGATGTCAAATATAACCACGTACTACAAGTAACTTTTTTCCCTATATATATTTCCAGCTTTTTACTTGGGGTGATATGACCATTTTCCATATATAGTTTTATTATTTATAACAATAGAATAAAAACTATAAATAAGCCCCATAACCCAACACAATAGGGTCATCGCCTCGCAAAGATCTACGTTCATTTTACGTGTGAGCAAAAATTAGCGGGAAATATCGATTTCGTAATTGGTTATTGATTTTCAGGTATTGGAGTCATGTGGTGAACTGCAGAAGCTGCAATGGTGCATATAAAGCTCTGAGAATAGCTGAAGTGGGTCTGCAGGTCATCTCCTTGGCTGCAATTGGAGCTGTGGCATTGACAAAGCAGGGTGTAATTTGTGCAACAGCTAGGGCCGCCATTGTCACCATTGCAATACTCTGCTTTGCTGCTTCAAAGTGGTTGTACCATTTCATTCACAAAACATTCCACTTCCGAGACTACAATCATGCCCTGGTTTGACACTTTCTTTTCTTCCTCTTTTCATGTCTTTCTTGATTCTACAACTCAATTATAATTAATCTTGTACATTTCAAAATGATCATATTTGATTTGAGAAAACCTGAAACTTTGGGGCAATATATATTTTTAGTTATCAATGGCTTCGTTTTCATGACCTCTTTAGCCGATGTTGTCAACTGGGTAGGGACACCTTATCTTTACTTGAAAAATTGTTAAACGTAGTAAGTGACCCTATTGTTGGGGTCGAGAAATAGACTCATACAATATCTATCATGACTGGTGTGACGTAACTTTTGCACTCAATTATTATTTATTTTTTAAAATTATGTTGGATGCATAATATTTTCTTACACATGGTTCATGCATGCATGCATAAATCCATTGGGTAAACATACCCCTAGATCTGATTGTGGGCACTGGCATAGTCATTGATAAGGAATCCACCCAAAAAAAAAAAAAAAAAAACTCTAATACAAAATGACAAAGAATCATTACAAAATGACGAGGGAAGTAAGATCTAGATTACTTTTCTTTAATATCGAATGATAAGGAATCATTATAAGTGAAGTAAAATTCGGATTACTTTGTTCATCGAAAATCTTAACGCAAGAACACTTGTTTGAGATTAGAATCACTCTACCAGCAAGATCGATCATGTCAAGCTTAAATGATTCTGAATATGCAATATAAACTACATAGAATTGCAAAAACCATCTTAGCCCGATTAAAGGAAAGCAAAAATGTTTCAAACTATCCTTTTTTTCAATAATATTAATTTTTTTTATATATTTTAAAAATACCCTCGAACTTTTTATTGTTAGTATATGGATAAATTTGTTAGTCTCATGTTTTAACATATTATAGACTTTCAAAAGTAACGGAGATAATTTATGAGTTATAGATAGATGATTGTTCAAGCTCTAAAAGGATATGGTGTTGCTCATATTTTACAAGAGATGCTTATAAATCCGATCATATTAGAGCTCGGCAAGAAGTACTTGGTACTACAATCATTAGAGGAACTAAGGATTACTCGTTCGAAAATTACGATCTTTGACTTTGGAGCCCTTGTATTAGAAAACTTCCAGATTAATAGGAAGAAAGCGTACTCATTTTTCTCTGATCGATCGGTATAAACATCAACAACTCTAACAATATAGTTTGAGAGGTAACAAAACTCTATACTTTTCATTATAAAACCAATGGACTTAAAAAAGATTGAATTATTTTGTGAAAGAATTTTCGAGCCTATAAAAAACGAGATTTGTACATGTGGCAATTCATATATTGAAAATAAATTATCCATGTCACCCTCAATAACCAAAATAATAATAATCATAATAATAAATTGATAATTTTTGCCACGTAATCACTTCTGGACTGCCACGTCATTACTTGATTTAAATAATATGATAAGACGCAGTAGATGGAAAATTTTATTTGTATAAAATAAAATAAAATAAAATAACATTTCTTCTATTTTTATTTATTTATTTATTTAATGAATAAAATGATACAAATCCAACAACTTTGAAGATCGGAGTTCAGCGAACTCCACAGCGCCAGACGCACTTCCAGATCTCTCCAAAATTTTCCCTCTCGCAGAGCTCCCACCGTCTCGTCTCCGTTTTCCCCTTCTCTTTTTCGTTCTCTCTCTGTTAATCCCTTCATTTCCCTAAGTATCTCCTGATTTCTGGACGGATTGTTGATTCGATTTGAAGATCTGCTTCGAATCCGGACTTGGGGTTTTGAGAAAACCCCATGAAAGATCCAAATCCGAGCACAGAGCCCATTGGGCAGCATCTGATTAAGGTGATAAGTAATCTCTGTTTCTCTGTTTTTGTGTTTTCAGTTCTTATTATCACCGTCATTGCCATCACTTACAAGCCCCCGGATCCATGGCTTGAATCTACTCCTGCTCTTACCAAATTCTTCACTGCCTCGGAGAATGCCACTTTTAAGAACGATGAATCTGTTGTCAAAACTGGGGAGGATTTGGTGTCTGTTCTTCCCCCTACACTGCCGCCTGCTCGTGGGGATCAGATCACTGAAGCGGTGATTGAGAAATCTGAGGAGGTAATTGCTAATTCTACCCCTAAATTGAATTGTGATGAATTCCGGGCTGTAAATTGTTCCGACCCGCGTATTTTGATTGCGGTAGAAAGGTTTAATTTGAAGGCGTTTAAGTCTATTGCGTTCCTTGAGTATCAAACTCCAGTTAATGGATCTAAGGAATTTGAATGTGATGTTTCGTGGAGATTTAGGAACAAGAAAGAGAAGTCATGGAGGAAGTACAGGGATTTCCGGAGGTTTAAATTTGATTTTGGGGAGGATTGTCATTATAAGGTAGTTCATGCTGGTGGTTGGCATTCAGGTATAAATGCTCGACGACCGAGAAGTGCCACTAACTATCGTACTAGGGGTGGTGGAAGTGGGAGAGTTGCTCCACCAGTATGGGATGAGGAGATCAACGACACGATCCCGACTTTGGGATCGGAGACAAATTTTAGGAAGGGGAAGTACTTATACTATTCACGTGGTGGAGACTATTGTAAAGGAATGAACCAATATTTATGGAGTTTCTTGTGTGGTTTGGGAGAGGCAATGTATTTGAACAGGACGTTTGTGATGGATTTGAGTGTGTGTCTGGCGGGTAGTTATAATCCGAGCAACAAAGATGAAGAGGGGAAAGATTTTCGTTTCTACTTCGATTTTGAGCATCTTAAAGAGATTGCATCTATCGTCGAGGAGGGTGAATTTCTGAGAGATTGGAAGAAATGGGATAGAGGCCACAAGAGGAAGATACCCGTTAGGAAGGTTGTGAGCCATAGAGTGACACCAATGCAGCTAAAGAAAGATAAAAATGCTATCATATGGAGGCAATTCGACGCTCCTGAACCCGAGAATTATTGGTACAGAGTATGCGAGGGGCAAGCTGCCAAGTACATTCAGCGGCCATGGCATGCTGTATGGAAATCGAAAAGATTGATGAACATTGTGACAGAAATCAGTGGACGTATGGACTGGGATTTCGATGCAGTTCATGTCGTTCGAGGAGAGAAAGCACAAAACAAAGAGCTTTGGCCTCATTTGGATTCGGATACATCACCTGATGCTATCCTTGAAAAGTTGAAAGGGATGATTCAGCCTTGGAGAAATCTGTATATAGCCACTAATGAACCATTCTATAACTACTTCGACAAACTGCGATCTCACTTTAAAGTCCATTTGCTCGACGATTACAAGGAATTATGGGGAAATACAAGCGAGTGGTACAATGAAACGACACTTTTAAACAACGGTAGACCAGTCGAGTTTGATGGGTACATGAGAGTTGCCGTGGATACCGAAGTGTTCTATCGGGGGAAGACCCGTGTTGAAACGTTCTTTAATTTGACCAAAGACTGCAAGGACGGAATCAATACATGCTGATCGCGGCGAGGACTGCATTACTCATAGGTGAATCATGTCCTCTTTTACATTTTGATTCGATTCCATGATGATACATCATTTGAGATCGTTCTTAGTTCAAATTATATGCTTGCTCCTTATTTCAACGTAATATGGATGCATGATTTTTATTCATTTCTATTGTATCTTTGTAACATACAAACAAGTCATCCATTCCAATCTCCATTTTCATGTTTTTTGATGCTTCCTCATTCTGCTCTACCTTCCAGTCTAGTCTGGTTTTCGAATATAGATCTCAAAAGCTACTGAACTAGGGACTTGAATGATTGATGTAGCCACTGGCTAAGATATCATTAGTTTGGTTTGCTGATAGATCTGTTAACTCTCTCAATTTTATATTCGGTAGATCCTTACCCTTATGATTTTACATTCAACAAGTCGTTGACCATTCAATTTTGATGAAATTCTCAGTTTGATATCTGATAGATCCTTAAACTTATGATTTTACGTTCAACAAGTCGTTGACTATTCAATTTTGTGTCGAATTTCATCAGATTTGCTGTGTGGAATATTTTAGGAGTTGGAAGTTCCATTGAGGGGTGAATGTTGTTTATGATGGCTTGGAAACTTGGGTTTGAATTATGAGAATGAGGGTGGTTGTAATAGAATTAATTGTTGTTATCCTTTTCTTGTTTTTGGTTAGTACTCAAACATCAACACTGTCATAGAATTGACTAGCTACCAAACATATTTGGGACTTCTCACCAGAAATTTATTTTACGTTCCGAGATCGGCAAGAACTCGAAGGTTTGAATCTCTACATGTTTGAACTTAAATGAAAAACAATCCTTGGTCTAGATGTAACGTTTTAGCCTCCGAACTTTAAAAAGTTTCAAGTATTTTAATTTTATATTCTTATGTATTCTTTTTGTTGACAAGGTTTTACACAATAATAACTTACCATGCTTATTAGATCGAAGTTAGATGTGTCGATTTTTCGCACAAAGATGGGTTTTTCGATAGTTGAGGTGGTATCCTAAACTCTTCATTAGAATTTTGTTTTAAAATCGCTAATGAATAGCTTTCACTCGTCTATAAGACTCTTCTAAATGTAACGATTAGTGTAAATTGACCAAAAACGTCTAAATTGATTCTCTTTAAGAGAGCTTACGAACTCAAACGAGAAAAAAAAAAATACAAAAACAATGTCTCCACTTCTATAAATATAAATTAATCATGAGGCAATTTTTCAAGTACCTAAGCTTATAAAGTTTTATCAATTGTAAGCATAAGATAATTACATATAGGGACAGGATATCTCAAAACGTCCTCTAAATTCTCCACATGCTGGCCCCAATATCTTAGAAAACAAAGTCATTGTACCTTCAGGAGGACATCCACTCTGCCTCTGTGCTCCCCTTCCCTTTGAGTACTTGGTAGAATTTGTATGTTTCATTGGCAATGGAAATACGCATAGTAGGCTCATCATGTTGGCATGGTCTGTAGCCTTATATGCTTGTATTTCTGTTCGTGGTTGAAGTGTCTCGCAGTCTCGGATAAACCGAGAGACAATAGGAGCTTCAATGCACCGATCCCCTCTTGTAATGCAGTATCAATCTTTTTAAACAAAAAATAAGGGAAGCGTTATGCCGAGATGGGTAATAATCATAATGTAATCGAGGTTTATAAGATGCAAACTATACTTGCCAAAAATTAAAAGTGGGATTCAAGAGGGTCCAAGATATATTTTTCAAGCAAACGAATGGAGAGTGAGTATAAGGTAAGCAGTAATTCGCAGATGAACTTTCATGGGGTCTCAAAGAAAGATAGAAAGGTTTCAACCACAAGTTTCTAGTAGTATAATCAGCAAAAGACTCACTCGTTCTTGAGCTGTGTTATTGAACTTTTGAAGCAAGAATGCTTTGGGATCCATTTGACCAGGTGGCCTTCCAATGCCTATAAAGAAAACGTTCTAAGAACGGAGGGAAACACGTAAAAGACCACAAAATAGCATAGGCAACAATACTTACCAATTCTTAACCTAGCAAACTCTCGGTTCCCTCGAAAATGATAAATGACACTCTTCAGCCTAAAATAAAAATCCATTTCAAGATGTACCAGAAAAGGTGATAGAATGCACGAGAAGTCGTGAAGGTTTTACTAAAGAAAGAATAAGCACGAACGATTAGTAGTATGTCGTCACAAAAAAGAATTCAAGCTGTAGCTTGACGGCTAAACATGATATTTAGAGGAATCACGTTGATAAACATTCTGAAAGTTGTATTAGAACTTTATGTATGATACTTTTGACCCCTCAAATGCTATTGTTTGATTCTTCAAGCGCATATGGATAATGGAACGATTAGCTGACATGACCAAACATAACAAAGCAATTCCAATAGGATGTAATTATCATCACCTCTCTAGCATGCTGGACGCTAAATCAAATGTTGATATAATAAACCATCTTACAGACTCTTAATGGGACCCTTTTTGTAACAGCCCAAGCTCACCGCTATTAGATATTATCCTCTTTCGACTTTCCCTTTTAAGCTTTCCCTCAATGTTTTAAAACGCGTTTGTTAGGGAGAAGCTTCCACACCCTTGTAAGGAATGCTTCGTTCTCCTCTCCAACCGACGTGGGATCTCACGATCCACCCCCCTTGAGGCCCAGTGTCCTCATTGGCACACCGCTTGGTGTCTGACTCTAATACCATTTGTAACAGTCCAAGCCCATCACTAGTAGATATTGTCCTTTTCGGGCTTTCCCTTCTGGGCTTCCTTTCAAGGTTTTGAAACGCATCTGTTAGGGAGAGGTTTCCACACTCTTATAAGGAATGTTTCGTTGCCCTCTCCAACCACGTGGGATCTCACACTTTTTCTTTTCAAATGAAAACAACTAATCGAATGCAATGAAATGTATGTCAATGTCACAGAGGAGGTGTGGAAATACGAGGCAACCTAGCTTGTGGCTATAGAGTGGAAATAGGCTACAACAAAAGGGGATAAGGAAAGAAAAAAAAAAAAAAAAAAGAGTTCAATGATACCCGTTGTGGGAGTCGTTCCCTCCATTATGTCGAAGCCGAAGCACCCCACATGGCAAGTTCATGTCATCGTGGAACTGCAGAGGTTAAATACTTGAAATAATAACATGCCTTTGATCATTTAAGAACTATGCAATTAAAAAAGGATTCAAATTCACATAAGGATTTACCACGAGCACACGGTTTAGAGGTAGCTTGTAATATGCTGCAAGCGGTCCTGCCTGCAATACGATGACAAAACACAAGATTTATGGCATCAAACCAATGTCAGTAAGGAACTAACTATGACAACCATCACAAGAACTGCTCATAATAGATCTTAAATCAATACCAAGTTTTTTTTCCCTCGAAGTCATCGAGTTGAAAGATGAATTCACTCAAATGAATTCGTGAACTCGAGCAATAAAAAAACGACAACTAAACGGAACCTAAATTATAACAAGACAGAAGCCAAAAGGAGTTTCTCGATCACATACAGATTCACCACTCAGGTTCATGTAAGTCTGAGGCTTTGCCAGAAAAACAGGGATGTCCCCAACAAAACCTGACATATCAATAAACAAACATCCTTCAACTTCATGCAATCAAAAGCAAAACAACTAGTCCTGTAAACAAAAAAGTGAACATGCCTTCACCAAACACAGCTTTGCAGTGAATCCTGTTCATTGGAATTCCAACAGACTCAGCAAACACATCAATCATCTCAAACCCCACCTGTACTGAACCAAAATAAGAATGAACGAACTAATATCTCTGATTTCAAAATCAAAATGCAGTAATTACATTGTGCCTGGTTCCTCTGAACTTCTCTCCAGGATTGCCCAATCCCACAAAAAGCCAAGGCCGTGATGATATTGCCGTGCAAAAGCCACGCTTCGATAACTTATTGAACATTTTCCACTAAAAAAAAAATCCTCATACACTTCCCTATTGACTGAAATCCAAAAATTTCGATCAGCTCCTAACCAATTAAGAACAAAATAAACAACCCCAAAATGTAAAAGTAATAAACAAAAGTTTATTGGCAATTCAATTCCGCACTCGAGTCATGTCCCTGAGTTGATACTGACGCAGATTACAAATACAATGTCAGGATTAACAGCAAAAAAGAAGAAAAAGGACGAACAGTGCGATGCGGCAGCCACTAGCGGTTGTTTTATTTCGCCCCCGCCGCCGATCGTTATCGCCGATCGCAGCTGTTCCGAAGGTGGTACCAGACCTTGAATTCAACTGGAAAATTGAAAAATCAAAGACGAAGTGAAGAGAATGAAAGAGAGATATACCTAGGTGGACGAATGTCTTTCAAGAAGAAGCCGTGAAAATGGTGAAATCAGGGAGAGAAACCTAGTAAGTGGAAATTTGATTTAATTGACAGTTTGGTCCCTGTAATTTTTTAATTGACAGTTTGGTCCCTGTAATTTTTTAATTTTTGCTTTATTGGTCCTTTTTTTCCCTGAATTTTCATTTTTATCCCTTGTTTTTTAAAATTTTGCATCTAAGGACAAAAATTGTTCCACATGCTACCGAAATCAAATTAGACCAAAATTACGGGGTCAAAATGAATCAACGTCGAGAGTAAATAGACCAAAATACTTTTAGATGAGGTAAAATTTCATGGGTCGAGTTCCATTTCATTATTTCAATTTAGTCCCTGGACAAAATTGCAAATTGGTCCCTGTAATTTTAGAATGATTTAAAATTGTTAATCCCTCCCCTTCGAAAAAATAATCTGTCAAGCCGCATGGGTTAGATACGAGCATTTGTGATACGGAATCAATCAAGGGAAAGTATGGAATGAATTACTTTGATCAAGATCAAAAACTCGTGATTCGAATTATTCCACAAGAGGTTTGATCAATAGTAGTTGAATGACTCTAGCATGCAAGTTGTAAGCACAAACATTTGCAAAAAAAAATCTTAGCGATGTGAGTAACTTCCAAATTAAATTGGCTAGTAAATGAGAAATACTCATAACCTCCCTATTAAAAAGACTAGTTAACGTGGAATATGGTAACTTAGGTTAAAATATAATTTAACTCCTATATTAAAAACTCACTTATCAGAAACAAATATTTTAATTATAATTAAATAATGCAATGAATGAAATGTGCTTATTAAATTTAGCGGAGTTCATTAAATGCAACTTAAGGTACATTTAATGCATTTCTTTCTTGAAGCTCAACTTTACATAACATATAAGGACGTTTTCAATGTCTTCTAGAATTTTCTTTGATGAGCTCACTATATCTTGAATATAAGTGTACAAAGTTTGTTGTAGCTTTTTGGCTCTCGTCCTTGTAATTGAAACTTGAGGTATGAAAATTCTTTGGGCGTGGTTCATACTAATTTAATACGTAGAAATTTACTCGTGACTTTTAAAAGATCTATTTTAACCCTTAATGTTTAAGGTTTGTTTCAAAACTACTCTTAATGAATTTTTTTTGTTTCAACTTGTAGATGAAAATTTTGTATACGCTTGTGTGAACAAATTTAAGCCAGTACATTGAAAGGGCATACGATGCATCAGTGAATCATCTCTGATAGAAGTGGTCAAAAAACTCGGTGACCAAAGAAACCCGATCAACTCAACCCAATCTAACTCATACGAGTTGACTCGGGTTATAAATTTTTGATGGGTTAGGTTAGGTCCAAATAAATGAATAACTTTATACATGAAGTTCGATCGGATTGAACCAAATTATAATATATATGGAGACAGCACACATTGTGAGAGAAAATGGTATAGATTTGTGTAACCTAAATTGAAATTAATTATAAGAATCAAATTAAAATAAAACATTTCAATTTTTCAG